TAAAAAGCGCGTAACATCTGCCGTTTGTCCAGGTTTTTGTTCATAAAGTCCGCCGGGAATCCGCGAAAAACCGCCGCGACGCTGAGGCCGCGGATTTTGCCGGGCGGCGATATGTATATGTATTTGCGTGCCTATACGGATGCGTATATATATATATATATATATGTTTCGACGAAATTTCAAATACCGCCTACTCCCCTTTAAACGATAGCCCGGCGTTATCGGGGTCTCCCCGGGTACAACAAATCGACGTTTGATGAGTTTGCGGTAGGCGTCGATTAAAGGCGCCATGCAAATTCTGCCTCAAACGAAACCGCGGCTTTTCATAAATGCGTTTTGCGGGGCGTTCGCAAAAACCGTGCCGAACCGAATGGATCGATGACCCTTTGAAGCGGCTTCGTCGCTCTCCGTTTCCCGTTCTCGACTCGCGTATTTAAAGGAGGGGCCTCTCTCGTTGAAGGACGACCAAAAGTACAGGAGGAAGCGACCCCTCGAGAGTAACTTTTTAAATATTTTTTTTTAAAGCCTCGTACCGAGCGAAATCAAAAATCGATAAGAAAACCGACAGGTTGCGAGGGTAAATTAATTTTCTGATTTTTTATAAGGTGCCTCGAGGGTTAACGCGATAAGAAAGAAAATGATATTCCGAGGAAAGTTGTGGAAGGATTGTCGGTATCGCCGGGCGCGATTATCAACAGGTATTCTTCGTTTAAGTATTCATTGGCATTCGTCCAACGAAAGGCGCGCAAGAGCGGTCGAGGAGGACACGCGGCCCCGTCGTAAAAGAGTTAAACTCGATCGAATCGCTTTTTCCTTTCTTCGGGATCGTTAGCGTCTCCTCTTCCGGTCGCCAATTTGCCCGCGATGTAAAATCCGCCGATTTAACCCTCTATTTGGCCATTTAATCGCGTTCTCGATATCGCGGAGCGGGGTAATTGGATCCAACGGGAAAGGAGGATCCGACGTGTCCGTTAATCGTGGCTTTTATGAAAAAGGGAAAAAGCCGAGAGGAAAAAGTGAAAAATCTGGTAAGCTCGACTTCGGTAAAGCAAGTACATTGCATTAGCGCGGGAGACGAGGAACGCGTGACGTATGTAAATTTATGTGCAGCGAAAAGGATGTGGCCAATGCCGATAAATTTCCAGGGGGAATATCGATAATTCGAGCGGCAAAATCGCGGAAACAATTTTCGCCGAGTAGCTTTTCGTCCGTTTTCTCGGGGTTTTTCTTTCCCTTCGAAGAGGGTAATTTCTGCGCTCGTTTCTTAAAGTAGCGTTTGTCAAAACGCCCGATTGCTTCGATTAGTCCAAAGCGTTATTCACCCCTCGCCGCGAGCTTCGGTAAATTCGAGAGTCCTTTTCTTTTTCTTCTCCCTCCCCGTCTCGCGGAAACTCAAGTTCGAATAATAATTCCTTCGCATTAAATTGGAATTATACCGAGGAGGGCAGGGAATGTTCTTAATTGCCACTGTGGCTCGGCATCCCGAACGTAAACGACGATAGGCGTGAACCAAGGTTTTGTTCTTCTTGCCCCCTTTCGGACAATCGCCCCCGAACTATGACCCCTACCCCCAAAGAAGGCTGCAAGACTACACAAATTTGGCCAAGAAATTGGATCTTCCTTCCCGCTATTTTGTCGCGTCACGATTCCAGGGCGTGGGGACGAAATCGTGCCGGGGACTTACGGGGGGGGGCCGACGGGCGCAAAAACTTCCGGGGGTGGTCTCAGGGGGCGACAGACAACGGGCGGCTCGCCACCCCACGAGTTAAAAACCTGCCAAACTCCCGGAACAATTACGGGGGGCAATTTTACCTCCGTGGCCGGCGGCCGAGGGGCCGAAGGGGGCCGGAAGGGGCCGCAGGGCGCGGTTCCGGCCAAAGTTTCCGCGCGGTGCCCGCCGCGGATTACTCATAATTCCGCGGGGCTCGGCACGTCGGCGGATATTAAATGTTGCGTTTCGAAATTCCGCCGGCCTCGGCTCGCGGCTCGATCGGTCGAAGGAGAGCAATATGCGGAGCCGAAGCCCACCGCAAAAACCGCAAAAGGGCCGCCGATAAATCCTCCCCCGCGTCACTCTCACCCTCGATACCTTTCCGGCCCTTTCCGCGCCCCCGCGGAGCGTGGCCTTAACGATCGGCCATTGAAAAACTCCGACCGGATCCGCAAACTTTGCCGCGTGCGACCCCGAGGCCCCTGCGGTTTATGACCGACCTTTTCCGAGGGTGTCATTCGGTCGGGGATCGCGGTGCGTAATGCGAGCGCGTAAATTCCGACGTTACGGCGGACAGGGGGTCAACCTTTATCGCGGGGAACCCCCGGCCGCGGGAAAGTCGTGGGCCAAAAAGTCGGAATCGTTGCCCACCTTTGGACTCCCCCTCGGAGTCCCCGGGACGCACCTCCGCCTAAGGCCGTTTACCCCGGACCAGGGAAACCGGTGCCGGTCCCGGTTCTTTTCGATGGTAATAATGTAAATAAATGAAGCTTACATTGTTTAAAAAAAAAAAAAAAAGTCGGTGCCGGTGCAGGGGCAAAAGGCCCGACGGAGTCGCTCCGGAGAAGAGCAGCGACAAGTGTCCGCGGCCGGAAAGGGTCGGACCGGCTGAAGGGGTTGAAGGGGACTTTTCGGCAACGCGACGTCGGCTCCAGGGGAGACGGAGGGCGGCCGGCGAAAAAGCGGTCTCATCAACAGGTCCTTCCGCGACGACCCCGAACGTTCCCTGGCAGGGCTCCAGGTAGCAGAGAGACAGACCTAGGGGTTGCGCTCGTCCCTAACCGTGGGGTCGCGACGAATCGACCAAATATTTTTCGACTCGAAAAAAATCATCGAGACGCTCGGGCGTTCCGTTACGAGTTTCGGAAAGGACCGCGAGAGGGTAGTTGCTCGATATCGGAGAAAACGGGGACCCACCCGAGACTCTCTCGGCCATGTGCGGGGGAAACGCGCGGACCGGATCGACACGGGGCCGAGTCGGCGTCATTTTGCCGAAATAGGAGTAAAAGGCTTGGAGAAGGTTCGGATGAGCGCACCCTCGGCTAAATGCGTTCATCAAATTCTATTTGCCGCCCAGGATTTGTTCAAACCTTTTACGGGACCTTTCATAAAACTGTCAAGGGGTTCTGATTTACGGTATTACGTTTCGCGTAACGAGTTTAAGATTTGGAGCGATGTCGCTTCAGAGTCCAACTTTATCTACCCTTGTCAACTCGGAACGGTTTACATCGGTCTCGAAGAAAAAGGGAGAAACGTAAGAATAGCCATGGCGCATCTCGGGGGGTTGTTAGGAGCTACGGGATAACGCGATAAAAAATATCAAACGCTCGCAACGGTTCCATTTAATTAGCGATTAATGCGTTTCCATAAATCACGGCGGACCGCGGGAAGCACCGAAAAGAGTTTTAATCATTTTATCAATAAAATAAATTTTGATATGTCGACCCGGGAGCGGGACAACGGCAAGAATCCCGAGGGAGATTCGCGCGTCTCACTTAAGCGGGTTATGGACCAATTCGGGGTCGTAAAGTGGAATCATATCGCTACATTACTCGACCATTTATTCAATTACAAAGTTCCAACGAATCGATTTCAGCGCGACAATTAATAGGGAGGGAGCAGGGGATTTCAATGAATTCCAGCGGGGATTTCGAAGCATCGGCCGCGAATACAACGAAAACACTTAATGCCCAATTTTGCCCTTTTTATGCAGCGACCATTCCGCGGGTTCAGCGTAAAGCGAGACCGCGGAAAATCATGGAAAATCGCGGAAAATCGAGGAGAAATCCCTGGGGGACCCGTCGATAAACAAAAACAAAACTTGTTACTCCGCTTCCAGCCACTTGCCCAATTAATTCACCCCGACAAATCGGCGCGGCGAGAGGAGCGGACCGAGCGAGGAAATACAATTTTCACCCACCTCGGCCGATGGATTACCAAAATCGGCCATTCGATTTCCGTCCGCTTGCCCGCGCGGTACGTCGGCCAAACCGGTGCGGTTCCTCGAAAAAAGTCCGAGGGCAAATTTCTCGAGGAAGGCTCCTCTCCACCGTTTACCTGGTGTCGGCACTTCCTCTCCGCCCGTCCGAGCGGGGTCCTCCGTGCAATCGACGAATAATCGGCAGCCGCGAACGCCAGTAGGAGCAGTTTCCAAGGAGTTTGCACGACTTACCGGATTATTGCTCGGCCTTTTCCTTCGGCAGTCGGAACCCCTTTGGCCCCCCGCGGGTGGCGTCCGTCTCCGTCGGAAGGGGCGACCGGTGACTCGGCGGGGGTGGGCGTCGAGGGGTGCCGCGCCGTTTCAAGTCGACAGCTGGTGCAGCCTTAAAAGCATAGCACTGTTCGGCGCTTGGGTGGCTCGGGGCACGTTGGCGCGCGCGGTTTCACTCGTGGGGGTGTCGCGGTGCGACTGTAGCACAATCACTACCCTCTCACGTTCTCGCGGCCTCTCCCCTCCTCTACTCGAGCCGCCGCCGCCGACGCCGCCGCCCCCCACTCCGAGCGCAGCGACCGCCCGCGGATGCGAGGCCGAACCCGAACCGATCCGATCCGAGCCAAGCCGAGTCGAGCCGAACCGAGCCGAACGTGTTAGGACTTGCCCGACCGAACCGAACCGCGATCCGGCCACTTCGGCAGGTCGATGAGTGACCGTTGATCAGTAGGAGACCGTAGACAAATTATACGTGGTAATGTACACCTTGAAAACCACGTATATTACGCGACGCTATTTAATCCTGCAGTCGATCAAGAAGCGGCGAGCCTGGCAGACGTCAACAGAGCCGAGAGCACGGAAAGACGACGCTTGTTACATTTTGAGAATAAACGTTTTGTTTACTCTGCTCGACGTCGGAGAGCTTACGCGTGTAGGTTAAGAGGGGTTCGATCGAGGTCGTTGATCGAATGGGCGCGAGAAGAATAACGGGGAGAGTATCGTAGGTGGCGGGTAGTGATTGAGAAAATTCCGTTGAATTTCTGCACTCGCTCGGGAATCTTGGAAGATGAGGCCCGAGAGGGTTTCCGGAACGAAGTCTTAACTTGGCTGTTAATTAAAAAGTTGGGATTAATTCCTCCGGATCGAATGACTCGCGGGTTCGTGTCAATACACGGGCTTAAAAAGAGTTCAGCGGGATTCGGAAGCTTTTTCCTGGGGCGCGAGGACGATTGCCGGTGACGTTTTTAACGGGTAAGCGGAAACGTCTTGACCTCTCGAAAAGATATTTAAGAATTTATTAAATCATTGAAAATTTTCTACCAATTACGTCGACGGAAAATCTCCGTTTTGCCCGTGCTCGAAAATTGAAGAATCGACTTCGTCCCTCCCTCGGGAGATCGATGATTTGCTCGTGTCGTGGCTAAATCAAGAACCGTGTTCGTAAATATCAATCGATGGAACATTAGTCTTCCCGCGTTACCGCCACAGAAGGAGAACAACGAAAGGTCTCGGATGGATAAAAATAGTCGCATACCCTATACCCCTGTACTCTATACCGAAAACCGACAGAAAGTAACATTTTCATCAGCACTTCGCATTCGATCACCGAAAAGTCATTTTTCTTTTTTCCACGATCCATGTCAGTGGTCCCGAGACAGAAAACGGCCAAAAGGTGTCCAGAGGGACGAAAATAGTATCGAGGGACGTGTCGGTATGTACTCCGATATTGATACGAGGGTAAGGTGATGAATGTCACGAAAAAGCGACTTTCAGGGGAGTCGGGTTTCCTCTTTCAAAGAGATGCTTCCGGATCCCGAGTCCACACCCTGTAAAACGCTTCCTGCTGAGCCCCTCTTAAAGCGTGACACCTTATCCCTAGCCTTAGAAATTCTTGAAACTTTAATTGCACTTAAATCGTAGGAATAAAAATGATGTTCCGGCCGGGCGCCGGGAGTAGAAACGCGTTTATCGAGACTGCGAATTTTCTGACGAAACAGCAAGTCAATCGATAATTTTAATCGCGGCAGTTAGTACAATCGGGTGGTGACAGGCTGAGGGCCCTTTTTTTTACTTGAGCGCCTTCAACTCGAAACTTTTTGAAAGAAGATGAATATCGCGACGAGAGCGACTTTCAGAGTTGTCTGGTTCTTTTCTCTCGGCGCGATACTTCCGGGTCACGGGGGGTCCGGAGCCGAGAGAACCGTCACCATCCGCGGGGAAAAGCCATTCTCGGGAAAAAGTAGTCCTCGGATTGCACGTTCGATAATAAGGTATCGAGAGAATAAGCGAATTGTTCTTATTTCGGAGCTGGGCTCGCTGACGCGATCAAAAATTGCGAAGTTGCGCAGCTGTTTAGGGAGAAATGCCGTCTTAAGAAAATGTATTGTACGTAGCTACGATGAAGCGTCCGAGCCATTCGATTCATCTACGAATTCCTGGTGGATATTCATCTTCATTTTTGTCAAGCCTTTGGTACGGCCAAAATTTATATTTATAAAAAATTGCGAACAATCAAGGAATCGTGAACTTTGTCACTTACTATATAAATGGTCAGATCCGAAGATATGAAGATTTATTTAAACCTCCTGTGTAGCCACGAGCTATTTATTCCTACTTCTCCATGTGGTGTTGACAAACCGAAAAGGTCAGCTCAAGACGCAACATCCAGCCCGGTATTTTCTCCTTCGCGATGGAAGTTTCATCGATGGCGAACGGAGGATCGTGGAAAAATTGTTTCGACCTCTAGGTCGAATATAAAAATTCGTGAAAACGACTCTTCGGTAACGAGCGATAAATATCACCGAAACGTGACGCGTGAAACTGCGTTACCAAATTCCGGGTAAAATCGCGCGACCATTAAACATTAAAATAACCATAATATAACTAATAAATCATACTACCACTCTTGACATAAAATTCTATAAAATTTGCGGATTCCCTCCAACGTTATTATACGATGCCGCCGGAAATTTAATCAAGCGATTATATTTTTAAATATACGGGGAACTTTCGATTTGAAATACAAAAAAAAAATTGGGGAACTTTTTGCAAGGAAATGTTCCGTCATTCGGTCGGCCGTCATCACGAGAAAAGCCAACTCGCGGAAAATTCCCTTCGGAATCGCAGGTTCGATATTAAGGTGTCGCATCGGAAGGGAAGGCGAATCGTACTTGTTTCGAAGTTGGACCATACCTATGTTTGCAAAGGACACTCCTAGCCGTCGGGATGGCACCTTTTCGGTGGAAACAATTTTAGCGGGGAAGCCATTTCGGTCCTCTTTCCCGGCCTGGAATGAAAGGAGCGGTATTACCGTGCCGGAATGGGACAATGTTGGGTCGTTAGACCTACCGCTCTTAAAATTATAATAATAGGATGTGGAGGAACATCTCTACGATGTGGTATCACTGGCGCGGTACTACGACTCGACCAATTCGGAAACAAAGTAACGATAATACCCCGGTAATGAGATTTTTCGCGAGCTTTCTTCCGGTCGCGCTTGGTCGTCAACGAGCAGGAGGCTTAATTAGAAAATGAGAAAAAGGTGCCACGGTACCGATCGAGGGCTCGTGCGTCGTCCACGGAACTCGGAAGGAAATTTTCCGCTTAACGAAGTCACTTCTTCCGCCTTTCGAAGGGCAGATGGGATTCCGTCTCAGGAAGGGAGACACTCGCGTCGGTCAAAGTGCTCCGCGAATCCGCGGTGCCTCCATCTCGCCAGTATTCCTAATAAATCGAAGAAAAGGGAGAAAGCGCCCGAGGGAAGCGATCGGCTCCGGTGCAGTAAAGCGCATCCGAGAGTCTGCTCGTATGCACGCGGGGGTGCCCGAAGGGGTGCACACGTCGCCCCCCGGCTGCACGGATTCGCGCTTACGTGCCACACGACTCCACGCGGATACATAAATACATATAGTTGGCCATCCGCGTGTACGGATACTCGTGTACGTACACGCGGACGTATACAGGCGCGGGTTCGAGATATCACCCGCGATACAGAGGGTAGCTAAGAATGCACGCCCGGGGAGGCATCGGATAAAATAAAGGATAGCTCCGCTGCCCCGGGGCGTCCCTCGTCTATCGCTCGCCGATATCAGCGAAAATTGAAATAGTCGCGATATTTCTTTCAGAAAGAAATAATAAAAGAGAGAAATAGGGTTTGGGCGACGGAGCGTGTGCGGTGGGCAGGAGGGCGGCGCCCCGGAAAAATGGAGGTGTTAGGTGTTCTTTACAATCAGATTCCTTCTCGGCTCTATCAGCCGACGAAACTCGAGCTCCTTCGCCGGAGAAACCTATATCGGGGGCAAAAAGGAAACGAAAAAACCTTACTCGGGTCTCGGGGGCGATCGAAATCGAGAGCTCTCGGAAATCCTTCCCGACCGAGCCGGCGTAATGAACAATAATCGAATGCGCGCAAATTTACATTCCGCCAGGTAGCTCGATCTCCGTCTCCGATAAATAGTTATGAATTCAATGGCGGAACAAATGGATTCAGCGACCCATCGACCGTTCCTTTCGGGGTAGTTTCACCCCTCTCGGCGAGTTTACCTCCGCTCGAAAAAATCTCCTTCCCGAGGTTAATAAAATGAAGGAAAGAGATACAACTCTTCTCGAAGAAATGAAAGTTCCTTCGAGCGTTTCCCACCACCGAGTCTCTTTTTATCCGCTTAGGTGTCTTTTTTCATCTTCGTCCTTTTTTTTATTTCAGAGCCACAGGGTGGGCCCCCACATTCGAGGGCTGCTCCTTTCGATTTCCCTCTCTCGGAGCGAGACGTCTCGGGTGGCACCTCCGACCTTTAATAATGCGTCCTCCCAGTTAGTTGTTGGTCGTTCCTCCCGCACTTCGGACGGGCACCGGCTTATTGACGAAGCGGATGGAAGAGCGAGTCGGAGAATTCCTGGTTGCCGGCGGCATCAGCATCGGGGGTAAGTTTAATATTACTATCGGAATACCGCCGCGTGCCCCGAGGGAGAAGTTGCGGCCGCGGCCGACGCGGAAACTCCTGTCATCCCTCGACTCCCGTTGCCGCTTCGCACCCGCGCCGCATCCGCACCGCACCGAACCCGCGACTCGCTCCGCGTCTTACGCCGCGCCGGCAGAATCCGCCAACTTCGGATGTTCTCCCGGAATCCGAGTGTCCGCACACCCGACGCCCGGCACCGATCTCCCCCGAAGGAATCGCTCCCAGGGGACTCCCCTCCGGAGGTTCCCGGGCGATCCCTCCGCTTCTTTCGGCACTCTCGAAATCGTGACCGGGCTGCCGGTCCAAACGCATTCATATGAAAACGAAAAATAATCGACGACGAGCGGTTGAATATTTTTCGAGCATTCGAGGCGTCTCTCCCTAGGATGCGCGAAGGACTTTTCCCTCGGCTCTATCGGAGGCTTCTCACTTCCGGCGTTACTTTGGCATTCGTTCGGTCTAGCATAAATATGTCACCGCGATAGTAGACATAACGCGCCCCCCCCGCCCCGCGCTGCTCCCGAGGTCTCCGAAGCAAACGGGCCGATAAGGGGTATCGATTGGAAACTTACCTTTGTGCCGGATGCGGACCGAGCCGCGTTCGCGGGACAATCGGCAGGGACCGATTGTTTATTCGGGTCTGCTCCCATCCGTGATAGATTACGAACGACTCCTCGGATTCCGAACGCACCGATCGGTGATATTTCGAATAATTTCATACCCCGCGTGAAATCGATTAATTTCCGATGACTCGGATAATGTTCCGCACGAGTCCTGAATATCGCTTAGAAATTTCTTCGGACACGGAAAACAAAATCGAAGCTGTTTTTAATTAACGTTCAAAATCAGCTGGTGCTCGTTCCACGGGTCTTCATGGAAATCCCAGCTGTAGCAACGGATCGCTGATCGCATTACCCGATCCGGTCGGGTCGTCTGTGCCATCTGCAAGCTAGTTTCGGTTTTCAACGAGTCCCCACTTTTTAAACGAATGAAAAAAATTCTTTAGCAATATTTTCCTGGACGTTGTAGAGTTTTAAAATGAACGAGAGCCCTAGATTACGGACTCGATGCCGTTGTCACCTCGGCGAGAGGTCCCTTCGTCCCGAGCAATCCCTCCGAATTCAAAACTGGGGTGAGAAGTTTATTGGGTGGAATCGCAGAACGGCCGGAAGATTACTTCCTCGGGTGGGGCGCGGGTCGGGGGCCGGGCACGAGGGGCCATTGAAACTTCTAAAAGTAGTTAACTGAGTTTCGAGGAATGGCCCTTGAATAGTTTTACGTCTATGTACTTACCTACATCCGGACGCAATCGCGATCGCCCAGGGCGGCGTTTCACGCAACTGTACGAAAAGGCCGCCGGGGACCTTAAATATCGGTTCTGACGCTCTCTCGAAGGACGAATGGAACCTCATCTCGCAAACTGGGCCTGGATCGGTTCTAAATCCTCCTTGAATCGGTCCGGAATCGATCAGTTTCCTCTAAACGACCTCGCCGATGCACTTCCATCCTCTCCGCGGATACGCTTTCAATAAGGACGAAGCAGGCCTCGATTCGGGTTCCTTCCTGGGAACGAAGGATACAGAAATTTCCCTGGAGGTCCTCCTCGACAATGCCAGGCTCGCGCACCGACAGACGTTTTCGTCCCGGTGCAATTCCTCCGGTCGGGAAGGACAATTTTGATGCAAATGCCATTCTTTCTGTGACGACCCTCGTCCCTTTGGACTTCCCCTTCGCGGGGAACATCTCGAAGGATGAACAACAATCTTTATCTGGAGTAAAAAACCAAATCGTGAAAACGAATCGGTAATCCTGCCTCCTTATTTAATTATTTTTTTTGCGATGATTATGACAAAGGGTCCTCTGATTAATGTTTTCCGCAAAATTTGCCACATGTCGTGCTGGGGGAGAAATGCCGTTCGAGAGACCTGGGGAGGACTGTTTTATATATTTGTGAACGAGCCCTTTATGTAGTCCTGTCCGAGCGATTCGGGGGCAAAGTGCTGAAATGTTCCCCAGGGGCCGCGATCCGAGTCCGATGCATAACTGCACGGATGCAAGGGGTTGAACCCTCGCCATCCCTCGCGTATCCTCATATCAAGATCTCCTCGTGTCCCGATCCCTCGCGGTTTGCGTGACATTCGCTTACCCGAAGGGATGAAGAGCGTGATCCTCGCCGGTGGTGGATCGCGAATAAAGGCGCCCTGGATATCATTGAAAGACGCGTACGTTTGTCCTTCGGCACAGGATCTCTCGAAAATCCGCGGGTTGACGTCCGGACGTGCAGCTCGCTCCAAAATTGCAGCTCCGGCTGAAAAATTGTTCGCTCTTTTTGTACAGCTCGGAGGAAAGAAAAAATCCCGTCGATGCATTTGTCAGAAAAATCCTCCAAACGGGAGTCACTCGATTTTACGTACTCTCGAATGCGGCTCGACTCTCCCGGAATTAATTTGTCTTTTAATTTCATGACGGTTTCGATGTAATGGGAAAGCCATAAAGGGCGGAAGAAGTACAGTTCGCGCGATTTATCGGATTTTTCCAGTGGTCGTTAAAATGTACAGGGTGGACTGCACCATGCGTAAATTGCTGGGCGATGCAGAGGGCAGAAAACCAAGCAATTTGGGCCCGCCTGGCTTTAAATCCGTATTCCAGCTGTGCAATTTTCTGACCCACCGAAATTGTGGCAGCGAGTTTGTGATCGACACGGCCAGGGAAGAGGGGAGCAATATATCCGGCTGGCAAACATTGTGTACGCTTTGCACGGCTTCGCTCTGCGTTTCGTCCTTTGACAATGGAACTACAAACAGTAGCTAGACACGTGTCGAGGATCGTAGGTAGCCGGCTACCTCTCTCTTTCTCTCCTTACTCCAGGCACTCCCGCTCGCTCCATCCTTCCCCAACCCCCGGGAAGGGAGGCACTCGGTCCACTCGGATCTCTCCACCCTTCTCGGTATCACGCGATTCCGTGACTCGCAATTCCGAGTGTCAGGATTAGCGACTTTTCTTTTCCGCTTCCTCCCCGGCCCCTTCTATTTCTTCTCTTTGATTACTCTTATTTCTTTTTAATTTCCTGAGTAGGTGCAGATAAGGAAAGGGTAATCCTCCCTCTACGAGCCAACGAGCCTCGAGTTTGCGCGAGCGATCCTCTTCGAGCGAGTTACTTCACCCGACCACGAGTTCACCCTTCCCATGAGCTCGTCTCAATCCGTTTTTTCGTCTTGCTTCCTTCTTTCGATCCCATCACGGACGTATCTTTAATCTCGTACAAGTGGACCACTTCGTCGGTCGTCTCTTTAAATCGCGATCGCGCCCGCGCTAACTGGCCATCGGCGGTGATCGGGACGGCGGGGAATTTCCGGGATAATTTTCAAAGGCGTTCCTCTCCTCTTCGTCCGGATGCACCCCTCGCCGACGTCACCTCGACGCGAAGGTGCCGGTGTACGGAGAAAATGGACCCGTCCCGAAGAAGGGATCCTCGAGCGCGCACCTCGCCAGGTACGCGGGGGGTCTCTGGCACCTCCTGCTCCCGCGGTTCCGGAACGGGGCGGAAACTGCTACAATTTATATTATTGCGGGAGGAAAAATACCTTGCACATATTCCGGGGAAAATATGAAGCCGAGCAATGCGCAAGGAATAGGGCTTAATGGTGAATTCCCGCGAACCGTTTCTCGGCATTTCGCGAAACCGCGACCTTCGCCCAGAATTTTACAACTGCTCAGTTTTTCCTTCGTCGCTGGTTAAAACGATATCAACGATGCGTCTTGCCGTTTTGAACGGACTAAAAATTGTATTACTTCTTTTATACGCGTTTCTCGGTCGTCGGAAAATATTCCTTCCCTTAAAAATGAGGCTTAGGAGGAGGCCGGGGAATTCTCCGCGGAAATCGCGGGGCGCTTTCGCCCCGATCGGGGCGACCCGCCGTATCCGCGAATTTCGCTTGACTGCGAGGAAAGTCGCTTGGGCGAGAGTTGGGACAGGTAACGCGCCGGAATAAACTCGGCGAAAATCGCGAAATCCTCCCCCGAGACTCAGAGGGGCGGCGGCTCGGGGCAAAATGCAATCCGCGTCCCCCCGCCCAGGGGAGGGGAAGGGCGGCCCGACCGAAGTATTCTTCGGGTACTTCTTCGAGTTCCGGAAACTTGGCGGGACGCAACTCCTCGACTCGACGCCGGGTGAGAATTCGTTCGGGTCGGGATTGCCGGGGCAGCTCCGTTTCTGTACACCCATCCGCAAACCCCGTGAAAGCGGTCCGAGTCCGAGCCGGAATAATCTATGCGACAAGTCGGAGGACGAACGTTCGGTCGGGAGAACGAAACTGGACCGTTGACTTAGGGATGTTGCTGCAGATTATGGTGCAGCGGGACCGGCGAGTCGCAGCCTTCGTATCGTTGCACCGAATTCGCGGGAGGGAAAAAGGTGGTCCAGCACCCGAAAGAATCGTTGGCACGTCCGAAAGTAAAGGAAGCGGTATGTCGGAGGAATTTATGCAGGGTAAAAGTCAAAGGATCGCACCGCCTACGACATGCCTGTGGTAATGGCTCTTCTTTTTCCCGCGGAAAGTGTAACGAGTCATTCTTACGCGGGAAATGAATAGTTTCAGAGTCTACGGAATTTAGCGTTTCGGTTCGTTTTACCTTCCTCCTGTTTTTCGTCCTTTTTAACATTTTTGCTTCTCGCGAACAAAAAAGTATACCACCTTGTATCTACGCGTCGCGTTAAAGTTGTCACATTACGTACACATTAAAGGAGCACGAAGTCAACAGATATTTTTAACGGCGCGGAAGCGTCCAACGTCGTTTCCAGATCCATGGTACCGAATCCGAAAGGTAATAGAAACGTATTTGCCCGATGCCTGCCTGTTAATTTCGAAATATCGGAGCGCAAACGGTGGCACTCGAGCTTCAATCGAGTTCAAAATCCGGGGGAGTCCGGAGCGCGGAGATCATTAAAAATTGACGGGTCGT